AAAAAAATGCAAGACCAATCTTTATTTTGCCGGATTGTTGTCAAAGAGAAAACCAGCATCCCAAATTCGTCGCAATTAATTTTAACTATGGTTTCTTGAGAACAACTATTTTTTTTACGGCAAATAATTGATAATTCAAAAATATTATCTAACAAATAACATGTGTCTTAATGTACAAATATTCGGTAATTTAAAATRAGCTCTCTGTATTAGCTAAAATAATTATCCAGGTAAAACGTATTTTCTGTTCATCTGACCCTTGGATGAATGTGTCGTCATAACCGCCCTGTTGTTTGACTTKAACAATTTTGAACAATTTGGTCTTGATGTATGTCGACCAACATGGCGACCATGTCTTTTGCACTTTGATTCTCATGAAAAGGGAATGCACACGACCTACAAAAGCTTTTAAATCCTGTTTAAAACTATAATCTCAACTTGACAATTTAATTTTAAATTTTCTAAATTTATCCCATGATTTCATGCGAGAAGAGCTCGTTACCAGTTTACCTCTTAACATAGGAGCGAGGAACCCTTTCTTTGCGCATGACAAAAAAGTATTTTGAAATCACAAAAAGCATCAATCAGTTAAAGAAGCATTAAATAATTTGCTTGGTTTTATCCTCTAGCTTGACACGTCGATGACACGGGCGCTGAATCTTACGATTTTGCATCGCAATAAAATAGGTTCTGGTGGACGTCAATCAAGGCGTTTCCATGGGCACGCGCCCATGTTTTTATAGGAGCTCTTTGACTGACGCCCACCAAATTCTACTTAGCTTTGATGATCCGTCGCGCGTGTRAACGAGTGCAACAGATAAAAATCTAAAACAAAGCACTGATCGTCTTGAACGCCAGCAAGACTGATCCAACACATCATTATTGTCTTACTTACTGTTAAATACTAATTAAGTGAAACTTAAGCCTATTAAATTAATGAATTTAGCTCACGATGCGAGTAAATAATGAATAAATCAGATGCCAAGAAATATTCTTTTGTCTTTGATCCGTCAAAGTCAGAAAAATACACAGTAACTATTCGAACCCAGGTCGTCTTGTAGCTTACGTTGTCTGTTAGTCTGCGGTTATTTCAGTGCAGGACTGAAGGTGAGAGCGGCAACCGCTGACTACAAGCAACACAGGCTACTCGTCTTACAAGTTTTCATAGAGRTATCAGAACTGTTTTTAGGTTTTCCAAAGATTGCTCAATCAGTTTTRAAAAGAGTATACATGATAAGCAGGGTGCAAGAATCCCTTGTCATTTGTTTGTACATTAAAAATCATTATTCTATTTACAAAAACTCGTCACCAGATTCTAATCAAGTGATCCGTTAGGGGGAAACTGGGCMCTAGTTTTTCTATTCAATTGTTCATTAAAATAAATTTTATAATTAAATTTGACTTGATTATTGACTTGACTTTGTTCACAATCTCGTCTCAGGCGTCTTACGAGKTTWGGTCAGCGGCTTTGCGCCAACCCGYTGACCCAAAACACCCGCAAGCCTATATGGGAACGAAATTGTAACTCCTAATATTATTTTAATTTAATTATTTCTATACCTTCTCCCACAAAAAGCACTCGAAGGCAGCCGTTATTTCTTCRCAAGGTTCCTTGACTCGTTTAAATATATGACACTTGTGTTTAGCACCACCAGAAACCACCTCGGAAAACGCAAAGTATTCTGGGAAATCCTTATGTGTGCGGACATTACTAATAGACGGGAATGGAAAATACCGYTGCGTGAAGCTCGTGCACTGTGGATCAGACATGCTAACTCCATCAGAATTTAGAGTCAATTCCACTTCCTTAGTAGGAGGTGGGTTTCCTTTTTGTTTTTCTATTTTCTTCTGTTCTTTAAGGTATTGTTTGACAGAGTCTCGTAGATGCTTGGGTCGTAATGGCGGGTTAATGACAGTGGAGCACAAATACACAGCAAGAAAGTTAAATTCTTTTTCTTCGATTATTTCAGGAGAAGTTTTCAGTGTTATTTCAGGCGACGCTTCCTCAAAGGAACTGGAGCTTGATAATGAACTCAAATTGGGCTCACTTGTATAGGATCTGAACGAAGATTTTGAAGGTGAAAAGCTATTTTTCCTTGGTGTTAGTTTTCGAAATAGTCGAGCAGGTGAAGGAGTTTTGTGTTTTGTACTTTGATGTGTTTCTTCTCCTCCTTTGGTCGTGTTTTCTAGTTCATCTATTGGATCATTCTGAAATACGACAAATTAACAATATCGTCAAATTTTTAATATCCGAAAACTAAATATTCGCGCTTCCAGACCCTCCCTCCTTATCAGATAAGGCGCAAAAATATTCAATACATGGGAAAGCATATTTGTTAATAAAGAATATTGTCCAAGTTCTCTATCATTCCCAGCTTACTTCGATGCAAAGGCGGCTGCCTTTCAAGATTGCGCAGAACTGTCCAAGGGATGCACTATCACCCTTTCCAGAGCGCGCTAGCTTTCCTTTGGGTCTCAGCCACGAAATAAAGTCTATGGCTGAGTCCAACGACTGTCGCAGTCAACAATAACACAGTTCGTTTCTCTACGGAGACCAAAAGAAGCGTGAGCTATAGAAATGAGAATAGAGAACGCATGCGTAGTAAACACTTGCCGTTGAATAACGCCGCTCAAGTGAAGAGGCATCAGAACTTGTTGAACTGCGTAAAGACTTCTGCGAGCTTCTCCTTGACTTGATTGAGTCTTTCCTCCCAGGTGCAAAAGTAGCCTGACAAGCTATTCTGATTGTCTCCGTTGYYGTKACCGAAGCAGTCACGCGGCCGCAACGGAATGCGTGACAAAACATACGGGTCTTTTCTCCCTGTCTTGCTTCTGTCACAATGTAACCAAAGAGACGGGAGTCTTCGCTGAAGACCCCRAGGGAGAGTACCCACGAGATGGAATGGTGGTACAAAGTGTCGTTGGTATTTTCATCCACGATAAGTAYTTCCTCCGGACGGATTTTTAGAGTTATTGGCTTGAAGTCTTTCGGATGTAGCTTTTCCAATAGGGCAGCAATACTGTCGTTAATCACCAAGTAGGATTTCTTAACCTTCACACAACCCAAGTATGTGATGCGAGGGATTGAAGTAAAGCAATTGTCTCCAGGAAACAYGTGCAAGGATGGCACATCGGGACTGGGAGTGTGCGTAAATTGCTAAGATAAAAAAAAAGAGAGTTATTTTTGCAAATCGGTTTAATATAACATATATAGTGTCCTTTTTATGCAGATATTATAGCACGGATATYCTAGTACGAATATTATATTTAGTAAATTAAAATCTATGGTTTTATTCACAGTTTTATAATCGTGAAAGGTGGTTAGTACAGCAAAAAGACTTGTGGGGTTCTACTAGAAAAAAACTACATATATATCTTCACTATTTGATCAGGGAAAAAAATTATTCAAATATTTTTAAAAGCTCGAGGTCGTGGACATAAATTTTATTTTTTTTCTAGCAATGTTTACAGAGAAAAATCTTTTCGCCTATTTCCAACTGTGTAARAAAACAATAACAGGAAATAGTTAATCCAGAGAGTACAAAGTCACTGTGAAGTCTCGCTGGTTCGTTGAATGACAAGTTTCCTCTATCCTCTCCAATTTYCTGTTTTGCCAACATTTTCTAAAAACATGTTCTCACCATTCACATGATGTATGCCACTCTAAACCAATCACATCAAAGAACGTTTATCACGTGACGCTGTGCTGAACGTGATTTGCTAGCGTGGACCAATCAATGATAGTCAAGACATCACGTGATCATAATAAATTCCATTACGTTTTGAAAGAACATGTCTGTACAGAACAAGTTAATATTTCCTGATGTGAGAAGGAAAGCTGATTAAACACCGGAGCTGTATTGTAGGTGACCCTGGCATTGCTTCCTCCACGAAATAAAATATCATAATTGAAATACCGACGTTTTGTGTCTTTTTGTATTAATCTGTTCTGTTGAATTTACCTGTGCGCCAATGATTTACGACACCGCGACTTTTTCTTTTCCGTTTTCCCGTTTCCCCCCGCAATTTCTAAGTAGAAAAGAAGTTATATGCACACTTGTATCAAACGCTAATTTTCAAGTCAAGTGGCCGGTAAAAATAGGTTTGCAGTTGTAATAGAAGGTCGCTTAAGAGAGGTTATATTGTATATATGCACACTTGTATCAAACGCTCATTTTCAAGTCAAGTGGTAGATAAAAATAGGTTTGCAGCTGTAATAGGAGGTCGTTTAAGAGAGGACCAAAATTGTGCATTGTGCAACGTAACAGACTATATAGAGTATATTATGAAGAATATAATGAAGTCTTCTTGGGCCTTAGACGAAAGGGTGGACGTCGACTCCCCATTGATCATCCTGATAACAAAAACCAAACTTTGTATTTGCGTGTTTCACGTGATTAAGCTTATTCCGAATCAAAACAGCAAGAAATTGTACCGACATAACTYGGTACAAAAACATCGCAGAAAAAATCCACATGGGATATCTGTATGGAATATCTGCATGTTCAGACCCCTCACAATTACTTGATTATCCACGATAGATAAAAATACATAAAAGCTAAATAACKCTTGAGAAGTTAGGAGATGAAAAGGCATCAAAACTGCATTCAGCCTGTCGCAGCGAAAGTAAGGGAACTTGAAAAAAAATCTGAGTCCCTATTAAATGGATTTTGAAAAGTTGCTGTCGAAAACTTGACTTGTCTGTTACTACAGGTACACCAAGAGACGAAACAATTGTATCATTTGGTTTAATTTTTGACAAGTTTAGTTTGATTAAATGAGTGATATTCTTATGAAAATTGTTACAAATTTATGCTTCATGATTCGTAAAGAARAATTCATCTCGCTATATGACATGATACGAGTAAATAAGTATATGTAATACGTACATTGTAGTAACAAAAAGTCAGTGCGTGAGGGAATGCAAACAGATAGAACCCTTGACCATTCAATCAACTCTCCACTCAAACCACTTGAAAAGCTCAGTTACTACGCAACAGTTCAAAGGTTTTCTTAATTTGTTCTAAATTTATTTCGCTACTTTGTACTACTTGGAGAATTATTATCTATTTCCTCTTCCTTTTTAAAAAATTCCTGATAGAGACAGCTAGAAGTTTTCGTGATTTTCTTTTATCTTTGAAAAATGCAGCGAACGTTTCATGACCTGTGTCAAATCGCTTAGAAACGAGATGCTTAAAAAAGGCGGGAAACCGTCAGCCACTGATACATATAAAATGCGTTGCTATTTAACTACTAAAATTGACGAAAACATCTATTTAGACAAACCTAGGAACTCATTTTTGAAGATAATTCGAAATCCCTAAATTCCTAGATCTCAAAGCTTCAGTTTAAGGAAAACCGTAACACAGCTCGCTAATAACTTTATAAASCTATACTGTCTGATCTTTTCAGACAGCGAAGGTCCTACTCGAGTGTCGAATATCCTTGCCATRCAAAACGACCTGTTCGATAGGTGGACCTCCCGGTTTTTGGAATGTACACACGCCGGGCATTCTGTGGTCAAATTCTTTGTAACGTTGATAAATATTTTCTCGTCAACTAACGGAAAWGGTAGACAACAAATATGCGTTGGCGGCTGTTAACTATTGTCGATGCATTTTCTTGAACTCAGTGTCCTYATATAGAAATAATTACCAAAATATTATAATTTTGAATCCTTTATTTTTTGTGGTAAATGTTTTATAATTCAAGGATTAAATTTGTACAAAATTTCAAAGATAATCAAAATTGGTAAAGARTACGGTAAACAGATGAAGAACTCATGAACAAAAGCTCAGGAAATCAAGTTTCATTCCTGCGGGCGGGAGTTTTGAGAGGAACGGTATCGACTTTCATAACATTGAAGAGGGTTTTCCTCGTGGTGGCCAAAATATCTAACAAACAGATGAAACAACATTCAAATAACTATAACACAAACGGAACAAACGACTATAAATGAAATATTGAACAAAACAAAGCGACAACAATTTTAAAGCGCGAAAAACAGTCAAAAAAATTGTTAGGATGCCAAAACTTGTAGGTACAAAGTTCATTTGTTTCATATGATCAAAAAAGAAACTAGGTGATTTGGTCAAAACTGGACGAAATAAGCCGCTAAATCACATACCTTAAATATGCATAAATTCTTTTTAATTCAGTAGAAAGTAATGTTACTAAACAAATAAATAAAGATTAAGTTCATTTTAATAGTTTGGCTGAAAAGAAACTGTGGGAGATTTGTTCAAAACTGGACAAAAAACCTCTTTATCTTTCTTTCTCAATCTTGATGTATAAATTCTTTTAATTAGAGATTTAAGTAACTAAACAAATAGATCAAGTTGATTTTAATATTCTGCCGGAGCACTATTTATTTTAGTTCAAGTTAATCATATTATGATACCAAACTTAACAATACTGCCCAAAAGCTAAGCTTGACAAACGCACACTCATCTTCGAAGTTCCCCAGTGTAGGACATTTTTTGGACCAACTGTTTTGGTGCTGTGTTTTTTTTTGTTGTTGTTGTTGTTGTTATTGTTTTCTTTTTACACGAGTGTATCGTCAGTATGTTATTCTAAGTAATGTAGCGAATGATTCTGTAAAATACGGGGAAAGTTTGTGTAAAGATTTAAAAATTTTTTTGTCAAGACATGTTGCAAAGAACATTAGGCACCTATGAAGCAACTATTGACGGATTTTCGTTCAAGTTGATACATATATATATATTAAAAAACCATACTTTAAAATGTTTTTAATAACTTAAATGGTTATTAATAGATTGATATGATTGCGAATATTGATAAACTCACCTTGAGGTTCGGTGCTCTGAARGCATTTTTGATCGACTCATAAATGTTTTTGGCATCAGAACACCTTATGATGTAACAAGTAGATTCTTCACCCTGAGGACAAGCAATAATCCCTAAAACATTATCATCCCCTTCATAYAAATTCACATGCCCAATCTTCTCGATATCACAGCTCGCAATCACCTCCCACGGCGGAAAATTCGTACTAATTCGTACAAGATCTGAATTAACTTCAACATTCACCGACGAATCGTCATCATCATCATTATCAGCGTGCTTCTTCGAGAGCACTTCCAAAATCGTTGCTTGAAGAGTCTTGTCATTTGACCTTTCTACAATGACTTTTTTCACAAATTTAGCAAGATGCAGTCCTAAGGATCCTCCTGCTGGCCTTCGGAGGTTCMAACTTTTGGGTCTGTTGAGTCCCGATCCCCGGGGAGGAGGGCTTGGTTTTGAAGTTGTAGCGCCGGTCAACGATTTGGTTTTTCGATGAAAATCAACAGCCGAGATTGCCATTTCTTCACTTTCCACAGAAGATAGTTGTGGATGTGAATTTTCTGGCCCATGGAATTCGAGGTCACTATAAACGATATCAATGGGTTGGCTTCTTGTTCTCTGGCGATACCCGTCTGATAGTCCATCTACATTCTCGTATAACGATTCCACATTTCCCTCGGTATTCTCTTCCTCAGAGCATAAACTGTGTCCTTCAGTACTACTGCTGCTGATGCTACAGTGCGATTCGCGATCGCTCTCAACAAACGGAAATTTCACGTTCTCGTAGACAGGCGCACTTGTGCTTGCATGTTTAGCTTGCGGAGAATGGTTGGGCGATTGGAATGGTGAATTCTCATACAGCACATCCACGGAACGTCTAAAAAAATCATTCCTATTATCCCCGCTACTTAAAGAACGTTTGAGCAGAAGATGTGCCGGTAGGGTCGTCTTAGAATTCGTGTGTTTTGATTTCGAGGTCACTGCAAATGAGTCACGAATAGACTGTAACTGAGGTACGAGGAATTTACTATTTTCTGTTAGTTTAGCAAAATCTTGTCTAAGGATCGGGTTGTCCGAYTCCCGTGTCGGTCTTGAAGGACTTATCTCTAAAATGTCTAAATTAGCGTGGCGGATCTCGGCATAATGTGCTGTAGTCTCGGCTTCTTGCGCATCCTGCGCCGTCGTCTTGGGCGAGTGATTCAGCGATGGGTCCTCGCCTTCGGTCTGGATTCCAACAGTTGTTACATAAGGCGTTCGTCGCTCACTCGTTACACTTCTGTAACTACCTTGCGAGCTTATACTCGATGATCGACTTGATTTACCAGAATATAACGATGGCGCAAAATCAGCAGGAATAACTTCATAGATATCTTCTGCTTCGTCTTTTCGGCTTTCTTCGTCGTCGCTGTCGAATATTCCACGGGACACTACCCCGTTTCGTAGTTCTTTCATACTTTTCTTCTCTAGTGATAGTTTACTCTTGATATTCTTCTCTGTTTTTATACCAATGTCTTCATATATCGTCTCCGCTATTTCCATTTCTTGCGGATCCGGCCTAATCCATGTTGGTAACTGGCGACGAGTGGCACAGACAAAGTCATTGATTCAACTTGTTCAGATCCCGGTTGGTGACTGAAAATTAATCCCGCGTTTTCGGCGCTTTGTAACACGATCCACTTAAGATCTGCCAATCAAACGCGACATGACAACGATKTCAACGATGCCCCGGCTTCAGGCTGACGATGCTCTCACGGTTTCCAACAAGCTGTATAAACTGTATTTCGCTATAAAACTGTATCAATAATTTTTTGGTCGAAGTTAATCAAGTGAACCATAGTGATTTTATAATTCTAAGCACGCGAATGCATTATTGAGCCATTATTTGACATGTTGTAATCTTGGAGTCTTTTAAATAAACAGCAAACGTGCTAAGTCACGTCAAACAAACAAAGGAAAAAAACAGATTGCAAAACACGGTCACATACAGAGATTTTGCAAGTCGGGTCAAAATCCTTTTTCACAAAAGATGTKTAGTTTCGCTCTGATCCCGACGGCGGACGAGTATTGAAAACGAAAAATAAGGCAATCAAAAACAGGATAACACCTACAAAATATTTTCTGCGATTTAGTTACTCCTAGGCACCGGGCTCAGTTGAGGAAAAGTTCTGGCGGCACATTTGAGATGATTCATCGTACCACTGGCAGGATACTTAAGGTTCAGGCCAGGTCAGGCATCATAGCGCCGAGAAATCACTGCCAGGTGAATTAAGAAAAGAACAATTAACAAGAGAAGATATGGGAATAAACCCGTTACTCTCTTTAAAGACGTCTTGTGCATCAGTTACGACAGAGCCTTACATGTAAGGAGCGACTCGTGCAAGATGAATGGAATAATACAATGATTGATGAACAATACCGCGACAGGGGTCATAGAGGGGACGAGCGTGAGGTCCCAAATATTTCGAAATTACAACAAAAACTTTACCGTCAGGAATTCTAACGTTTAGTTGTCAGCTTAGCTCCCTCCTCGTGTTACCAAATGTATGTTTCGAAGAAAAAAACCTAAAAATCTTTAGCCGAAAAATACACAGAAAAGTTTTCAATCAATCAGGAAGCGGTGATTAATTCGTTACCATGCAGCCATATGGACACCCCGATAGCGAAACGGTTAACAATGCACGGGAAGTGGCTGGTAACCACTTCTGGTGCTCAGTGACGCAGGAGGAAAGGATCTTTAGGCCAATATTTTAGCCAATATTCACTAAAGATGGGTAAGGATTAGGATCTTTTGACGTTTGTTTGTTTATTGCTTGAATTTTCAAGAATTTCATGTTCTTGATCAAAACAAATGACGTCATCGTACGCCCACCTATTAAACGATKGAAAAAAATGTGGCTGTGGAAGGTCTGGTTGGTTTCCAGTGAAAAGATGAGATATTTAGCTGGAAGGAGTTTCACAAACGAGTGGATATTTCCTCCCCTCCACCCGGAGATTCCCATAATCCTTTGTCTACAGTTCTATACCGATCTATTTAAAAAGTTGTGTGTTTTTTTTGCTGCAAGACGTTCGAACTCTGAATCCCAGCCATTGATCTTTTAAGTGTGACATCACTGAATCGGGAAAGACAACTTCCGAGTCCAAAACGAAAAGCAGCTTATAAACAGTTGTCTAACTTTTGACAGAATTTGTTGTCCAAAGTTTATCACGTTATTTATGCAATTTTGTGAGAAGTTTGGCCCTGAAATATGTCACGACGCAAAAGCTCTATATAGTTACTAGAAAGGCAATAAGCCTGAAGCGAGATAACGTTTTACCCCCGTCTCTAGTCCATAATCCTTTTCACATTGCTTTTGTTCTTTAATTATGACTATTGTTCTCGATTCTCTAAGGAATCAAAAATTTTAATATGAAAGAATTTTAAAAACTATTATGGTATAGAGTCGGGGGTAAAACGTCATCTCGCTTCAGGTTTATTGATATACGACTTAAACACAAACAAAACATTCTCTTTTAAAAATGTCAGCTTCATTGAATGAGACATTGATTGACACATTTTATTCCTTGCATTATTAATAATAATAATAATAATATTGTTCGTATGTAAAGATATTTTTGGTTTGGCAGGAATATTTAGACATTGAATAATTGACAATACACAAGTTAAAAYCCTATTTCTACATATTGCCTTAAAGGCAAGATATCCAGGCAAGGTATAGCTATCATCACACAGTCATAAATATTTGCCATGTAAATATACATTTCGGAAGAGTGYTTAAAATACACCAGGTTGAGGCTGATAGGGCGACTGGCAGTATGGCAATTATCCTCGTGTCCCACGCAAAGGAATCATGGAATATGTGATTAAAAGTTGTCTCGGGGTTGAAAATCATATGGAGTTTGGAATAAACTAGTTATGATCGAGKSCATACCATATATCCGTGAWATATTTGTAAGAAATTGCACAAATTAGTAAGTTCAGTGAAACTCAKTACACAAAGCTTTGCACTAATTTGTACAATCTTGTTTGTTAACTTTTTCACGCATATATGGTATGCAAACTACTGACTCAGGGTAGTAGGCTTTGTCGGGGCTCAAGGTTCCTTTGCRTGGGCTACAATGATTTTATCATCATCCATGCAGTCATTAATGCATCTGGTAACAGGGTGAAAAGAGTGCATGTTGCTGATGATGTAAAAAAGACCGCAATGCATTTGACTCCATGAATGACGCTTATCTTATAGGCCTCGGGCAAACGTTAAACCTTAAATGCACCGCACTTAATTGCATCAAAGAATGCCGCTTCATTATCACCTGATATCCATTGTTTTTAATGAGTTCGGTGCATGGAAAGTTCGACGCTTGCCCTAGGCCTTAGTTGTCCTTCCTGTCATTTCTGTTAAGCAACTGGACTGGTCTAGTGTTGCATAACGGAAAGGACCATGTCTCGACAACAAAAACTTTGCTGTCGACAGTTCCCTTCACAGCCATTACAAGTGTCTCAGTTCCTCCCAGCTCCTCTTCACTGATGGCCATTAGTGGAGGCTGGGGTGGGGGATTACATCCAACATTTATAATAGTTGCAAAGGAGAATACCGTCAACCTGGTCAAATAATGCTTAAATGTAGTTAGAGTGGTTTTATGACAGCTAYGTCGTAGGGCAAAGAAATAGAAATTTCCTGCTGGAAGTGAACTTGTGTTATGCACATACAATGCATTGTTTTTTCCTTTAACATGGGTGCTGTCAAGCCACTCTACTGAAACTCATTTCAAAAATCTTGTTCACCCAAAAATCTGGTGTTTTTACATACAACTAAACAGTTTTGATGGTTCAGCCACTTGTTCATTATTGAGTTCTAATTTCCCCCCTACACTGCACATTCTGACTTGTGATAACTATCAATAAAACTATCATTGTTCTATTTATTGTGGTCGGATTTAGGGTGAACAACGTTGTCAAAATGAGTTTTTTACACACACTGTGTGACAATAGTAAGCAAGTTTCCATTTATGTTCATGAATGAAAGAATGGAYGACTCGCACCAACAGGTCATGTGACCCCTTAATTCAAAATGACCAACAGAAATAGAAAAGAGTACCTCAATATTAAGGTTTCAGCTCATAAAGTCAACTATAGTAGAAAGTAATGGGAAAAATACTATACTGAATAATTAAATGATTTGTATGGGAAAATGTGTTGACCATCAAGCTCTTGTTATCCAACACATTTCTTCAATTTCATATTAATGCCACTTTTCCTGTGCAGGGCCGTAACCAGGGGGGAACACATGGTGCACGTGCACCCCCCTCCCCCATAAAAGCTTAAGGTCAGCTCATCTATCTCCATTTGTTTTAAAATTGGTGTATTTCACGGGTTTTTGACAACCACTTTTTGAAAAGCATAACAGTTGTCAATAAAAAAYGGCTACTAAAAACCGATCAATGGTCTGATTTTATTTGATGTGCACCCTCTCTGTAAAAGTTCTGGYTACGGCCCTGCTGTGTCACATGTTATGAGCTGGGCCTTTGTCTCTGTATTAATATCTAAGTGTAATTTTTGCTTTCTGGTGTTCATTTTGACACAATTACTTTAAGGTTGTACAGTCATGTGACCTTTTAGCATAAATGCATTAGTACCTTGAATAGAGAATTCTGAATCCTCGCTACTTCGGCATAGTAGAATTAGCAATATTTAATAATAATTTTACTCTAGACATTATGTTTGTATAATATATATACACACCAATAACGACATGCCWTTCATTATGAAATTATACTGCACTATAATACACTTAAAAACTACCTTTTAAGACTTATTAAGATGTCTTTTCTTCTATGGTACAAGCTATATGTGCTAATTCTAAAGATTTTCTTTGGAGGCAAGAACTCTAGAAGACAAGTACTTGTGCACAGTTAATACCTCTGGAGAAATTCTCTATTAACCAATCACAACGAAGCAATGCAAAAATCAACCAATCAGAATGCTTATATATAGAGGCCATTACAGGGCCCACCACTATGAAGTTGACTGCTCTAGTCCTAATATTGGTTTTAATTTGTCTCATTTTCTTTGCATTTGCACCATGAGGAAATTGTATTTTAGTGTACATAAATAGAAGGTTAAATGATTTTTTTCTTGAAAAATAGGTTTGAGAAAAYGTAATTTTATTCAAAAAAGAGAAGATTTTTACTAAGAAAATGGAAAATAGACCCCTTGCAGCACTTTGGAATGCAGCTCAATCTGGGGGACAAAACAATAGGTTCCAATTCTCAGGAGATTTGAATTATATTGTTTTGTCCCCCAGATCGAGCTGCTTTGACGTCACATGCAWGGGGTCTATAAAATTGTGGTATCTTTTCACAAAATTTGCATCAACTTAGAATTGAAATTAACCCTTAATAAATCAACTCCTAAGTACAAGAAAACTATCAAAACATCTCAGGGGGCAATTTAAGCACCCCTAACATCATTTTTGCACATCTAATATGTAAAATAAATAAATGAATGTATCAGTTTTATGATATACTTACACATATTTTGTTTATCTATGTATGCTACACTTCTCAAAAACGRTTTAAAAAATAACAAAATTTCAAGAAAATGATTGAGGGATTTGGATTATAAAAATCTTGAAAACAAAATGATGACCATTTACCAGGTTTTTACCAAACGGCAGCATTACCATGTTATATTATGTTACAGAAAGGTATAAGATATGACACCGTTGTCATAAGGTATAGTACAATAATGCAGTAAGGTATGATACGACTGTGAAGGAACAATATCAAGGATGCGAACTGAATGTACTCTACCAAACAAAAATAAATACTACKGAAAGCACCACTAAATAATAAAGTTATGACAGCTGTGGAATTCTAAAAAGCAAAGAATTCATTTCATCTTTGCATTAATACTAATTTGAGTTTTTTAAAAACCCTGTAGTATGATTTTAAAGAAAGTCATACCCTGGCATATTTTTTAAAATGCTGACTAGATGTGAATCGTTAATAGCAATAGTTATTATGGCAGTTATCAATCATGGATGGGAGATACTTTGAAATAAAGAATGGGCATTGTAATTCACCAAGCTGGAGTTCACATTTCCCTGTTTTGGGATTCAATGTCCTTAGAATTTGGAGTAAGATTATATTATTTGATTGTATTACCTATATTCACCATCATGTTTTCTAAGYTAAACATTTCATGGAAAGATTTTGTAGTAAACTGTAATAAGTGGGCTACTAATTTTGAAGAYGAATGGACAATTATTACACAATGCCCTCCCTTCTCAAGTAAGGACAATTTGTTGTCGCATAAATACACATTGCAGAGGGGGCATCTTCATAAAAACATTAGGATAAAATAATTGGATTTAAATTAGATATGGATTGCATATATAAATCATTGATTGACCTTGCTATCTGCACTCCACTGGTGCTGGACTTGATGTAACATGGTTTGAATGAGAAGATTTGGAGTTACTTTCATGTGACGCTGCATCTTCTGGTAAGATAATTAGGAAGGTACCATTAGGAAGATCATATGATTAAGAGTTTATCAAAATATCAAATTTTTTATCAATAGGCCCTTTGCAGTTAAYGGTCAYGTGTCTGTAYTGGACTGCAAAATTTTTGTTTTTATATTAAATTGGTGATTCTTTTTAGYTACTTGTAAAGAACTGAATGAAAACATGTGTATCCAGKGTGTTAYGAAATGCAGTTTTATTACGATCTCTCAAAACACTTTGTAGAAAGTTTGTTTKCAGTCCAGTRAATTTCACCCATGGGAATCAAAATGTTCATTCATTTGYTCTCAGTGAATTAATCAGCACGTGATTGCTKAGCTGCAAAGGGCCYATTCTCCAATGCAACCTCTGAGCTGGCCAAATTCAGGGCTTGGCTAAATTACCCATTGAAGGAGGAAAATGAGAGAAACCTGAGAAAACCCTTTTATCAAGGGAGATACCTAATGAAATCTGCTTACTAGTTATGCGGTGTTAAGGACTCAAACCTGAGACTATGGAGGTTTGAGGCAAGCACAATATCCCTGTGCCACCGTTGATTCCATACATTACAATATGAGGTATAATATACCTTTTTACCTTGGACATAACATTTTCTCATTTCAGACCCCGAGTCATTCCCYAGAATATCATTTCTTTGTTTCATGGTTGCACRTGAAAAGACACATGAATATGGATACAACTCAAACAAGAAATCTTGTTCTCGAGGTAATGACACATGGTCTGAAATGGRAAAACATTGCGCTCAAGGTAAGGAGGTCTGAGAAAATAATTGTGTTAAATATAARGTGATAAAACTCCCGAACACACACCTCTTTTCTTTTTTAACTTCTTTCTTTTCCTATCTATGCTTGCCACCTCTGCCTTGAGYGATCCATATACTTTTCTCATTTCATTTATTTTCAATTGTAAAAGTCGTATACGTTCAGAGCCATCCTCCATTGATTTGATAGTTTCT